GTATATATATTTATATATATATATATATATATATATATATATATATATGTTTTTAAAACTAATTCTAGTCTATCTACAGCATTCTATTGTAGATAAGTAAAACATGCAAGTTTATTACGTCATATTATTTAAATGTTTGTAGCATCTTCTCTCATAAAAGATGGCATCGTATTTGTATATTTATGAGAATATGTCATTTTGAAGGATACATCACATCAATTTTTTTCAATAATAAGAAATATGAAAAGTTTAATTCGTTAGTATAGAAAAGTCTCTAAAATATAAATTTTTCGTAGATTAATTCAATTACATTAAGAAATTATTCAAAAATGAAAGATTGTGTGGCGTCTTTCCTTGAGTTGTCTTATAATAAATAAACTTATAATATTTATTACACAGGATTACATTTATATAAGATAAGTTGGAAATATCGTAATAAATACTTTAGGATTCCGTCCTAATCGCGATCAGGCGATTTTTTAATTACTTTTTATTCAAAAATTTTTCAAAAAACAAAATTATTTACATTTCTTTCCTTCACATTTGATTCAATTAAAATATTAGGTGTAGTAAAAAGAAATCCATTATTTTTGCATGAAATTGAATGGAAAAATAATGGATTTCTTTTTACTACACCTAATATTTCATAATACTGTATAATTGCTTACATATACATACGATATGTAAAAGCGATTTAAAAGTTATTCCAGAAATAACATTATTTCATGAAACAAATTTACATATCTTAGTAAATTAATTACATATCTTAGTAAATTAAATATTGGAAACTTTTGAAAGGACAGTTTACGAAAATCATCACTATAACATCAATGCTTCCATATGCTTTGCATTCTATGAACCTCAGCTTTTCAAAATGAAAATTAAGAAGATCGTTCATAATGTTTAATCTTTTTCGTTGATTCATATTGTTTAACCTTTCTGTCAATATAAATTTTTACTTTTTTTATTAATTCATCGGATATATATTGCGTATTTCAGAATATAACCTCGCAAAGACATTATAGCGTATTAGCAATTAAAAATAAGATTATATTCTATATTTTAAAAAATCTCCGAACAAAAAAAATTGTGATATATCTACTTTGCGTCGAAAAATCTATATATATATATATAAAATTATAATATACTCAATGTCTCATGCGCATTATCAATAATTCAGTTTAACATTGTGTTGAGTAGATGCACTGCTGTATATTTTGTATGGTACTAAATACTTTTGTACTGTTCTTTATTAATGTATAATAATTTATAAAAATATTATTATCATGGAGGAATTATCGCGGACATAGTTTGCGAAGTAAAAAGATAGCGTTGACACGCTAGTCATAAAAAACCATTTTTCAAACATTAGAATCAGTTAAAATATTTACAGTGAGTACAAAAAGTATTCATATAAAAAGATATTATTTAAAAAAAAAATCTTATTTTTAAAAAGTAAATATTATCCAGCGAGAAATGAAATCATCAAATTGATGTCGATATAAATATGATGATTTGAATATCAATTTGATATCGATTTGATGTTTAATTAACGATCATTTCTTGTTGAATAATTAACAATTTATTTCATAAAGAATAAAATGAACTGTATTATATGTTTCTTAAAATTATATATACCAAAAAGATGTGTATTAATTATACAAAATATATCATCTGAAAAATAAGCGAAAATTAAAAATTGTATTATTTGCTCAAAAAATATTCGTACAGACGAGAAATTTAACTTCTAAAATCAGAAATACATGCGAAACTTCTTCCTTTTATTTATGTTAGAACAGAATGTATTCAGCATATAAAATTGCTAATTAATGTTTATTTTCTACAAATAAGACTTTTTTTTATAACAAATTGCTTTGTACGAATACTATTTGTTCTCACTGTACATATTGTTCACTATAAAGGCGTCTCCAGATGGTCAATGTTCACCAATATTAGCAAATATCATACATACACACGATATACATAATTATCCGTATTGAATGTAAGCCAATATTTAGTGGATGTGTACAAAATTAGTGTATACATTGGTCATGCTGTTAGAAGCGTTTTTAGAATTATAATTTTAAATGAAAAAGAAAAATATTAATTTTGAAATTATTACTATCAGGATATGTACATATATAGTACACATATGTGTGTGTGTGTGTGTGTGTGGTGTGTGTGTGTGTGGTGTGTGTGTGTGTGGTGTGTGTGTGTGTGTGTGTGTGTGTGTGTGTGTGTGTGTGTGTGTGTGTATATATACATATTTTATTGCCCTTTATAGGCAATAGAAGAATCTTTTACTAAAATGTACAAATGAAACATTAAGGATCCAGAATATTATAATATTTTTTGTTAAAGGGAAGAAATTTTTTAAAACTGACTCAATATTTAGATTCAAAAACAAAAATTTACATTGCTCTTTGATACACATTATTGACTAATTTTGTTTGTTAATGTTTATCATTTAATTTAAATTAAAGTACCTAATAGACATTGACATATACTTATGGAATATTACGGTTATTGTCTAAACAAAGATTAATTTAAAAAATTCTATACAGAAATACAGAAAAAGTATCTTTGATGTCTCTTCTCTCAAATATTTCTGAAACTAGATATCTTAGAATTTTAAAACTAGATATCTTTGACCAAGACGCACGTCCGACGCACGTATCTCGTCTGATTTCTTTTAGCTTACAACTAGTCAGATTCTGACATCGGTACTTCGAATAATATAGGATGAGTCCCGTCTCCATTGTTTAATACACTACTTTTTATGAGATTTTCGGATGGATATTTAAGATCATAGGCTTGTCCTAATTTTGCGCAAATATTGATAAAAACTGTGGTGTAATTAAATCTATTATTTCCTTTTTCCGATGATCTGTAATCCCATGGGAACACGTGATGGAAATTGTGATAACCTTCTCCTGTCAGAAAATTAACAAATCCGTTGTCTGACGGCTTTATGTTCCTAAAAACAAGAGCTGTAATTAATTTGTGCTTATATTACAAATTCTTGAGTCCAATGAAAATGCATCCATTTTTTCTCGAATATGTTAACATCTAAACGCCTTTTTGACATAGTATATCCAACTTTTTTGCTCTACTGCTTTTTCCAATATTTTTTTCACTTATTATATATTTTTACTTATTGCCACACGACACATTTTATCCGAAGAACATTTTGAAAGCATCTTTAGGATATGGGATATCCTTTAGACGTCTTTGGACAATTCTGTGCAGTATAGGAAGCCATACATACATTTGTTTGGTTATTTGTTACCGTTACGTTTTTTAATATCTTACATTTCAATTAACAAAAATATTTTACGATATGTTTATTTTTACGAAAGATGTAAGCATCAAATTGAGTTGGGTATAGCGTATATCATAGTATAGATATGCATTTAAGAATTAATTATTTAATAAGACAATTATTCGCTATCGGTAACGGAATAAATTCATTAAAATTGTAAAAATTTATGATACATTTTTCTTCGCATAAAAATCTTCTGACAAGGATTTTTACTCAACTATAATATATAAATTATAAAATACAAATTATAAAATTATAAAAATAAGTATAAAATACAAATTATATCTTGATTACATATTCAAATTACGCACTTATTGTATGGCTTAGTGCCCCACACATGAGCAATGCTATTGACAGACCACACGGCATTTAACGAAATCATGTATCTTATGAATATTTGCGATATAATAGCTCTGTTCCAAGTCTCATTCCATAAATATACAGGTATTGTCGTAGGTAGGATAAAACCAAAAAGAAGTTGAAGAAGCAAGAAATACCTACAAAAAACTTTGATTTTATATCGCTTATTTCTCAATTGCGATGTAATTAAAAAAAATATTTTCGTTTTTCAAACAATTAAAAGATATCAAATATTTTTTAGTTGCTTGAAAAAGAAGAATGAAAAAAAAAGAAGAAAAAATATTTTAAAAGAGTTTACTTTTATTTTTCTGTAACAAATTATTATTATACCAAAATTGCGTTTTAAAATAATATTATAAAGTTTTAATGATTCGATGCTTATTTTCTGAAAAACTTTGTTTTCGAATTATGTAGCAAATCAGTAATATGTTTATATATTCTAAATTTAGGAATATTAGATTTTATAATAGAAAATTGTCGAATTTATGTTTTGTATAAGGAAAATAAAATTATTATATTGCACCGCGTTGTATAATTATATAAATTAGTATGACGGGTTACTTATAAATGATCTGCGCACGTTTAAATAGGTAATCCGTTATATTGACTGTATGTTGATGCAAAAAAATATAATAGATGCAAACTTACACATTACACATGTTTGCATATAATTATTTGAGCTTTTTTATTATATTTAGAAAATAATGAAATTGTAAAATAATGAATGTATGTAGTTAAATTTACCTTTCGCCGAAAACCACAACAGGATCTGACAAAACATCTGATAAATCGAGCTGCTTGCTTTTTTTAATAAATTCCGGATGTTCTTTCATAAACACCCATCCCATATGCCCATAAAAAAAACCGCGTTGAGAAGTGTGAGGATCAGCATTAGTGTCGCAATATTTATGGTGCATACGATGATTTTTTACCCAACTGTATATCGTATTCTAAAGCGCAAATAATTAAAAATGTTATTTACACATGAATATAAAGCTATATTTAAAATATATAGACACATTAGCTGTCCTTTTTAGTTGAATTTATTGCTCTGTTTTTTCTTCTTCTCCTTTGTAATATAAAAAAAAGAAATATTGAATGATACAAGAGAAATTCTAAAAATAAAACAGATTTTATGAATTTTATGATAAAATTGAAATTGATTTCTTTCGAGAAAATTTAAGAATCTATGTAACTTCTTGACTCTCTTTGTAATTTTTATGCTAATTAAACACTTACATAAAATTTTGTTTCATGTTAATGATCCATTTTTATATAAAAGCTTTTTTATCAGATATTGTTTACTTTATGATTCTTTTGTAACGGAAGAAAATGCTTTGTGCACATATAATTTAGAATTATTTAATAAAGGAATGATGAAGTTATACATATATTTATACTTTACATATAATATGCTTTACATATAAAATAGCAAATTAATGACATTACCTGTACACTTGCATTAAAGCATATCAAAAGTAGAATCCTTAACGGTAACTTTGCTTTATAGCTCTTGTGAGACCAAAGTCGATGAGCGCCACCAGACACTCCAATATTAGATATGATATACATAACGATTACTTAAAAATATGAAAAAATATGTTTATGTTTATATATTTAAATAAGAAGTCAAGCAACGTGTGGGATACTCTTAAAATGTTTTACAAATATATATACATATATTTGAGAATATAAGTAGAGTAATTCCGGCAAATATGCAGCGGAATTTACGCCGCTGAAAAAGAAAAAATAGAAGCAGTAGGGGTAATTTTCCTGCAACTACTCTGTTACACGTCTTTACATTATATTAATACTGAGTTATGATTTCAGCTTCCTGTTGTTAATATTAATGAAATTATTATGAGTTGAATCGATTTGACATTGCAATAAATAGCGCCATCATAAATTATAATGTACATAAAATAATTACTGTAGGGCGTATAAAAGACTTAGTAGTTATTTCGTGATACGTGAATGTGGAGGAATAGTAATGCATATTGTATAACAAAATACAAGTATTTTGCTCTTATATTCTTTGTTTAGTTTGGTGTCTTGTATATCCCACCTGTTTGAGATATATGGCATTTTTAACAGGCTGGATTTATGCTCAAAGCTTGCAAAGTGCGCAGATTAAATTCAGCGGAATAAATGCAATAAACACATTACGTAAAATATGTATTTCATAACACTTGTAATGTATGTAAGAAGATTATGTAATGTACGCCGCATCTATCAAAAACTTAATTTATTAAGTATTATTTACTATGTTTAAAATAAACGAACTATCAGAACGAACTATGTCAGTAAAAACTTCATATTATCTACTACTATGAAAAAAATATTAGAAATCCGAAATATTTTTTCATATTAAAAAATAAACTTTTTGAAATTCTTGCATTTTTGCTGTATATATCCTAGAGGTGAAATTACTATATGACTACTTAGTAGTCTCTATATGACTTATAGAAGGAAAGAAGGTATATACGCATCATAAAAAATTTAAAAATAACGCATGTAAATAAGATATAAAATGACAATAACTTATAAAATGCGTTTATAAAATTTTATTAAGGAATAAGAAAAAACTGGAATAAGAAAACTGTTTTGGACTAATTTGAAAATTTGATTTCATTTGAAAGAGGCAGATACACTAAATAGAATGAGAAAAACTTCAAAAAAATTTTAGATGTTTAAATTCCCCTAATATACAAAGCGTAAAAATACTTACTCCATATTGTAGTAATCAAATTTTGCCAGTAGTTGAAAGTCAATAAACCATAAATACCAATAGCGTGCAATAGAAAGACTTGGAGAGCAATAAACCATATTATATCAGTTTCGAATTTGAAAATATTTAGTTTTTTTATCATTTTCGATTTTTTTTTTATGTCGTCTCTTGCCATATATCTATGTATCTGTATTTAATTCACATTGAATTATTTAAGCATTTCAGATCCAGCTTTAATCGGTATAGACATTTTTATAGTTTGTATTAAAATTATTACACACCTAATTATCGAATTAACAATACAGATTGGTTGCATGGATAATACATCGTGCTAGTGATTTGAGCACGAAAACAGGCACGTTGAATTGTAAAAATTGTTACAAGACATATTAAAATGATGTATTCATGCATCTAATCTGTGTTGCTAAGTTGAAAATTAAATGTGAGATCAATAATTTTTTTATAGGGTAAAAAACTGGTTCAATTATTCTGATTCACGCTGTATATATTATATTCTCATGTGCAAAAAAAGATTTTTCAAATCACTATTTTTTCTAAAACGACTATGACATTCACAATGCTTTTGTCATAATGTAATTTTTCCGCATTGATATATCGCATATTATATTCTCCAAATTTTAATACCATTACAAAAAGATCGATCATTTTTATGTATGTATGTAATTTATCTATTTTTCCACAATTTCCATATATTTACATATTAATTTTTTAGCTTCATACGAATGTGAATTGCTATCGTGTAGATATTAGATGTAATAAAAAGAAATCCATTATTTTTCCATTCAATTTCATGCAAAAAATAATGGATTTCTTTTTTATTACACCTAATACATAAAATTATCTGATATTTTTAAAAAGTAATAAAATTATTTTGAAACTTACTATTATATAATATATATATATTTTTTATAATTCTTTTATTATATAATATAATATATAGATTACATATATATATATATATATATTGGGTATGGGAAAAAGTTCGTGGCGTTTTTCTCACTAGATGGTATTAAATGCTCAGCAGTCGGCAACTATTAATCACATCGGCAATACTAGACGTGCGTTTAAAAAGTGACATTTTAACCTTTGTTTTGAGCCAAAAAAGATTGAAATCGGTGAAGTGGAATTAAGTCAAAAGTTATTTTATTTTGAAAATGGAAATAAATAAGGAAAAAATTCGCTACATTTTGATTGACGAGGAAGAAGGTGATGTTGTGTGTATGGTGGGACTGGAAAGGAATCGTTCACTATGAGCTGTTATCGTCCAATCAAACAATTAATTCCGAATTCTACTGTGAACAACTGCAGAAATTACAACAAGCAATTGAGAGGAAGCGACCAGAATTAATCAATAGGTGTCCTCTTCCATCACGACAACGCTCGACTACACACATCTTTGACTCGGTAAAAATTGCGAGAGCTTGGCTGGGAAGTTTTAATCCACCATATAGTCCTGACGTAGCACCCTCAGACTATCATTTGTTTAGGTCTCTGCAGAATTCTCTTAATGGTGTAAAATTAGCTTCAAAAGAGGCCTGTGAAAATCACTTGAAGCAGTTTTTCGATCAGAAACCACAGAAGTTCTATCGCGATGGAATTATGGCTTTGCCCCAAAAATGGCAAAATATTATAAAAAATAATGGAACATATTTGGTTTAAATAAATTGATTTCAAGATACTCTAAGAAAAACACTTTAATTTTACTAAAAAATCGCCATGAACTTTTTCCCATATCAAATATGATGAGTCATTAAAAATGTACCAGCACACATTCTGTTATCAAATTTAATAAAATAGATTATAAAAATTAAAGTAACGATGAATAAATAATCGTTATGTTCAAAATTATTAGTATATACAATTCTTATTTTAATAGACAACTATATTAAAGTATGTGTTAATAAATAAAATTATTGTACATATACCTCAACTTTGGTGGTGATTGATAAACCAGGATCAGTAATTGAAACAATGAGTCTATTTAATTCACAAGAAATAAATGCGATCAGAAATAAAAATCAGTCAAATTGCTTATATTGTATTATCAAGTGTGAGCGACATTCTGTTGCTTTATATTACCTGGTTAAAAGAGGGGATGAGATTGGAAGGAGAATAGAGAGAGGAAGGGAACAAAAGAAAAAGAAAGGGAAAAAAAGATTAAGAAGGAGAAGAAAGCTAAGAATTAGGTAATAATAAGATAAGAATTAGATAAGAATGTTTGCATTTTGTTTGTGTCCTAATTTTTGTTTTTTAATGTAAATCATTTCGGAGATCAATCTTTTATTGTACGACGGTTCCTTATCTAATATCTTTCCAATTAAAATTATGGTTAATATGATACTCAGTAATCACCGATGGAGAACCAGTCTTTTTATTAATGTCCGAAATATGTTCATTAGGCTTGTTTTTAATTTTCTTTTGGTTTGTACATACATAACTAGTTTCATAGTTATCACAAGAAATTTTATAATTTTATACAACATTGTGATTAGCTAAATGATTTAGTCTATCTTGACCTCTAGTTATAAGGCTTTTTAATGTATTTGAGATTGAATATGATAGTTACAATTAAATTTATATACTAGGTAAAAAATTTTTTTAGAGATAGAGTTTGTATATAAAACTGTAAAGAATTTCTCTTTAACATGGATATTATGTTTTCTATTATTGTTCTATGTGTGGTATTTTAATCTTTTTTCAATTGTTGAAAAAATGAAAGAAAGAGAACAGCTATTATTTAGAAAAATATTAATAGCATCAACTAAGTGTTTTTTGTGGAAATGAGGACGAGACAATTTAATTATTTTATCAACGAAAGATAACATCCTTTTTGTGACGTAAAAGATGATATGAGTGAAAATTAAGAAATCTGCCCGAACAGATGACCTTCTTGTATCTATCAAAAATAAACCTTATGGTTATCAATTATAATTATAGTGTCCAAAAAACTTAATTTTCTCTTAATGCCGATCTCCATAGTAAATTGCTGTCTGACATGTAATGAGTTAAAGATTTCTAATGTTATATTTGTATCTAGGAGCCGCCAAAATGATAACAGTTTATTAAAGTATAATACCGGTTTAGTAATAAAAAAAGTGATAAGCATTGAAAAAACAGCAGAAGAAAATCCGAATATGCCATATCAAAAAGATATTTAGGATATTAACATATTCGTGTTAGAAAATGGATGCATTCTTATTGGACCCAATAAGACACAATTATTTTGACATAATTATAGCAGGAATGAATATAGTTTTTGTTTTCAGAAACATAAAACCATCAAACAATTTTAATTTTCTGACAATAGGAGAAGGGTATCACAATTTCCATTATATATTCCCATAGATCGTCAGAAATAACACATTTAATTACATACTATCATTTTTATCAATATTTGCGCGAAATTAGGACAAGTCTATATGATTTTAAATATCCGTGAATCTCAAAATACAAAAAATATTGTATTAAATAAAGCTGACGGGGCTCATCCTATGTTGTCCGAAGTATCGAGATCGAAATTCAATAATTGTAAGTAAAACAAAATCAGACAAGATATGTGTGTATCGGATTTTGATCAAAAATATATCCAGGTAATTTAAAAAATTGTTTCTTTTTTTTTTTAAATATAATTATCTTAATAAAAATTGTAAATTGTTATATACAGTAGAACCTCGATTATCCGATCTAATGTGACTCAAAATCGAATAATAAAAAAAATCGGATATATGTATATATATTGGGTTGTCCGGAAAGTTCGTGCCGATTTGGAAAATTGAAACGCAGAAGATTTGAATTTTAGTATATATTTATTAAATTTAAATTTTTTGCGGCATGAACTTTCCGGACAATCCAATACATATAACCGGTATTATATTTTATATTTGGTGTTATATTTTATATTTTATATTTAATTATTCAAAATATGCATATTTTAGTGTAAAAATAAAAATAAGAGGAATAATCTCCAAAGCTCTTGATCTTGACAAATGTTATTAAGATGATCCTAAACATTTAAAAGATTTTAATCAATAGTTGAACTTAGATAAAGCTCTCTCTAACGACAGCGATACTATAACTTTCAAACCTTATATATTGTAACTCAAAAAATATTTAATAAAGAAATATTTTGTTAAAGTGTTTTGAAGAGCTCTTGAGATAAGCTATAAAAATATGCAATGAAAAACGGGAATTTTTATTTAAAAAGAAATCGATGTATTCTTGATTTGACCTGGTGACCCAAATCAACTGATAAAATCGATTGATAATGCTCTTTCCTACCATTTTCATCTGAAACAGTTTTCTATGAAATTTATATTTTTTGGAATATTTTAGTCCCAGTATTTTTTCTTCACATCGTGTATATATAAAAAATAAAATAATTATTTATCGATAAAATAATTTACTATCAAATTACCTTTAGTAATTTAAACTATAAATTGGTAATTTTATGAATTTTTGGCAGTATAAGAAAAAGATGTGATTGGAAAAAATTATTAACTATTTTGGATTACATTGAAAATTTGATTTTATGAAAAGGACATTAAAATAGTTGATAATGAGTTGATAAAATAGTTGATAAATTTTGCACATCTCTTTTTTAAATTCCCTTATATACAAAAAAGTATAAAAATCCTCACTCCATATTGTAAATGTTCTCAGTAGTTGAAAGTAAACCACAAATGCCAATAGCGTGCAATAGAAAGACTTAGAGAATAAATAAATCATATTATATCAGTTTTAATTTTGAAAACACTTGGTTTTATCATTTCGGATTTTTTATTGGTCAAATCTATATTGACTGTCAGAACTTCTTTCATAAAATCTCTTTTATAAAATCAAGAAATAATTATATTGTGATCCTATGTTATATTATTATCTAAATTGTTATGAAAATAAATTTTTTTGAAAGCAAAAAGATAATTAATAAAGTAAGATCTACCGCACAATTAAAGTAATGCAATTTTTAATCAAAATCTTTGTTTAATTTTACTTAATTTATATAATTTATATAATTAGCAATTATAACGAATTCTTGTAAAATTGATAATAAAATTTGTGTCTTAAGAATAATATATTAGATATCCCGCATATATCAATTTTATCGAATATCTATGTAATTTTATTTAAAGTCAACATTTATAATTTGC